CGCTATTAAACCGCAAAACATTCACTGTTTTACTGTGGAATTGTAGAACTGCTCGGAATAAACACACGCAGTTTACACACGCCAGACGTCTTCTGTCTAAAAGAGACGGTCTTGGAGGGGATGGATGACCTCTCTTCTTCAGGAACTACACGCCATACAGGCGACGCTCTTTAAGGTTCACAAGCGACTGCCTCAGGTAGAGTGTGCTAAACAGCCCCTTGTATGCAGGAGCGTGCAGGGTAAAGTTTAACAAAGCTTACGTAGGTATGTGATGTGAAATAAGGTGTTATAGGCCTCCGGGGGACAAGTTACCTGAATTTGAAACTAATGTACAAATCAATTCCATCTTTCAGTGGCCACCTGACTTGAACATCATTTTCTTAAAGGAGGGTAATATTATGAGGACGTGATAGAACGTTAATGGATAAAATTATTAAAGTGGTACATTTACTCGAAGGAGCTTGTCATTCCATGGTGGCTTTAACTCGTACACAATAGAACGACGCAATACCCTACCAGACGGACCAGTGTCTCCTGCAAAGTATCTAACTTTTTCACAGTCACTCAACAAGGCCTTGAGTAGGGAATTATATGGATACCCTTTTATTCACTCCCCAGCCAGGCCCTATCAAAAGGATTTAAGGGCTGATGGGGTTCACTGGAATCATCGAGGGCGTCAATTTGCCCTCAGGAAAATGAAATCGGACTGGGGGATAGAGCGTCTTGTCTCGTAGACTTAGCCTTCTGTCCACTAATTAATATTCATGTCATTCACGATTGTCTTGTGAGCTAATATGTAAATTTAAATTTAGTCAATACTTGATAGTTTGTTATGGATAGGTAAAGGTACATTTTATTCAAATTTCCAAATAACTTGTAAATGATTAATGAAATCTTTTGCTGAGAGGTTAGGTTGGATTACTCGTAATACAAATAATAATGAAGAGCTGTTAATGGTGACTTTGATCCAATTTGATATCTTACGAGCACACATTGATGTATTTAAATGTAGGTGGGCAAATTATGAAACTGCCTACTCTAAATTGGAAGATTATTTGGTTTTTTAATTAAACAAAATACAAAATAAAAAAACAAAGCTTACAAAAGCCGTCAAAAAATATCTAGCATATCTTAAACGGTTTGAAGGGTAAATTGGCAGCGATTCAAAACGCTGGCCTACAACGGGAGGTCAGACGGCCGGACAGTCCTTACCTAGACTTCAGTTGCCTGTCCCATCATTGCCTAGGATAAATTTTGAAGCCTAGTCCATGGGAGAGAAGATATCTCAAAGGTTATCGAATTAACTTACTTGTTAGGACAGTTGAAAGGTACAGCTTATCAACTAATATCAGAATTAACTATTGAGAACAACAATATGATACAGCTGAACTGATTTTGAAAGAGGAGTATGAAGATAAACACTAAAGTGTAAATATTAAAAAAAAATCATGTATTATCATATATTTTTGGACCCAATAATAATTTAAAAGATTTACAGTCTTTTCGTATCACCCTGAGCTGTACTTTAAAGACTTGAACTTCCATTTAGAATTTAACATCGGCCTCCTGGTTGATAAATCACACAGTTCATAAGACGCTACATCGTAAAAGGTTAATGACGAGTTATATCATAAATACAATAAGAATTTCTTCACTTTAGAAAAGAATAGAGGAGGGGCTTCTACAGTTGTGTAAACATTTACAATCTACAAGAAAGTAAAATCTGTGACCTACGAATGACAATGACAGTTAATCAAAAGTCAATGATAAGGTACAAAAAATCTAGTGTAGGGGGAGATTGTAAACAAATGGAGGGGGTACAGTGGAGGAACGAAGTTGATATTTACGAGTATAAAGCTTCAGTAAACAACAGCTTCAGTAAACAACAGCTTCAGTAAACAACAGCTTCAGTAAAACCTGTGATATTCTCCCTGATAATACAAACACAGGTCAGAGTTTCTTCCAAATTAAACTTTACAATAAATACCTATTCAATTTCAAGATCATAATAAACAATGTGTAAATATATCAAATATAATACCGAAGACCAATTCGCAATTCTCATATATATTCATCACCCAACTCCAATAGATTATGGCATCTGACATAATAAACAAGGTTACCCAACTAGACTCGCAATAGTAAACATGCTATGGAATCAAAGTCAAAACATATTAAAACAAAGATCTCAATGTAATGACTTGTGGAAAGTTATGTGCTTATACTGTTATTAGTTCGTATCATTTACCTAGTGAACTATAACATCCAATTGAAGCTTAAGTTTATATCTACTGTTTTCTTATTTCATCAGCCTCCACTTCCCTCCCCTCCCACCCCACATCCTCTATACGCCACTTCACCTCGCCATACCACCGTCCACTAGGCAAAAGATCGTATTATTTGAGGTAATTACATGTATTATTAGCGTGCATTATTGTCAGTTATTATGCTATGTTTTAATATGTGAAATCCTTTGCCAACAAAAAATTTTAACTGTAGGCAACATCTCACCCGGAGTCTCAGTCGACAGGTGGTGTTGTTCACACTAATATCAGTAATTGGGTTATATTACCCTGCCCGACACGACGGGGCACAGTAGTGATTTCGGTCCTGTCTGTCTGATTTTTTTGTCTTTGTGTCCCAAAAGAACTCTTTAACGGGTTTACGAATTATGATCAATCTTGTTAGATTTTGTGAATATGATAATTTTTTGTAGTAAATCGAAAAAATAAAGTACGGTTCGCTCAATAATATCACTTAGTATTTTTCGGGGATTTGAAAAAAAAATTATAGTATGAGAAAATATTCTGCTATAACTACATTATCTTACAGTATGAGCGTCATTAGTTTAATATTAACCCGGTCGTGGTGACGGTTTGTGGGTGGAAATTGCATCCACATAGATGTGTATTATATTATTTTGTTTATTCTTAAAAAAAAATAATTAACTTATTTGTTGTTATTTCGGTAATACCCATTTGGGTTATTAATCTACCTGCCCTCAACTGCATGTTAATGAATTTTATTTCGTTTTAGTTTGTCAGTCTGTCAATCTGTGTGTGTCTAAAGAACATCTGAAAAACAGGATTGAGGATTTGCACCAAACATAGTTGGCTTGATTAATATAAAACAAAGTCCACATGATAAAAACTTTAGTGCAAATCTCGCCAAAATCTGAGAAGCTTGGCAAAGACAGAGATCTTAGTAATAGAGAGTCGTGTTCTAAAGGGGAAAAGAAAGAGTTTATTTAGATCATTTCCCCCCAAGATGTTACTTACCAGAAATGATACATTCTTGGTTCTCCATACATGACTCCTTCCCCTAATAACGTAGAATCTCAGGATAGGTGAAAATTACTCCATAGTTCAAGCTGTTGAAGAATCTCCATAAGTGTCATCAAACTACCCGTTCATTATATCGTCGACTTTCGTAAATAGGAAATCGCCTGTATGAATGTATAATGGGAGATATATTTCCTCAATATGTTTATTTTCATCATTAACAACTATGGTCGTTAAACACTACACTAAACTATACTCATATACTTTACAAAGCATAATAAAACTTAAAGGAGGAGGTACATACAGCTAAAAAAATCACCAATAAGATACAAATACGGTTATACAAGTGAAGGCTGAAAGTACAATAGTTATCATTCATTCATAGTGAGTGGCTAACCTACTCACGGCTGATAATTATGAACAGTGTGGATGCAGTGCACATTATACTAGGCCTTCGTTGCGCAAGCAGGTGTAGTGACCGACACTGCAAACGCCCAGCTGAGCCTGAGACTGTGTGTGTGAGGGTATTTTGAACTGAAGGCCTGGCTGACGAACTAAACTGAAGGCTTGAAGGGACTACCGAAAAACTGGTCTGCAGGCCAGTTTGAGGCTGTGTTGGCTGGCGCACAGGCTACGTTTTAGTTATGACCTGACCGTGCGGCCTCGTGAGAGGTACCCTGTGACGCTCTCCCACTACTGTGAGTGACAAAGCTTTGTGAAGAAATCGAAGTGAAAAACTTCAAAATCTCTCAGTTTCTTATGAAGTGGTATTGAGTTCAGCAGGCAGGTGTATCCTCTTTCTTGTAGCCAGTCTTCAGAGTATTTAGATCTTTTCTCACCAGACATACACCTGCATTACTCAAGATATTATTTCAACGTCTTCTGGAGCTGTTGGAGTGGATATGGTTGTCATCGTGCTCCAGTGCCCCTGGGAGAACTGAGGTCCGGCCTTCAGACAGAACTGAAGGCTTGTATGGGGGGCATGGGGGCTTAATACAGGAGGATCGAGCCAGCAACCTATACGACAGGAGCAAGAGCTGCATCCAGTCGGTGGTAGCCCCATTTTATTATACAGTAGATATCATCTCTTAAATAATGAGGGATACTTTTGTCTGGTTAACAATAATGCTTTAGGTTCTTTACATGTATGCATGTATTTCTCGACAAGCAAGGTGATCAGTACGTATATAAAGCTACTTCATACATTAGATAACTACTGTTGAAATTTAAGTAAGCTAACTCTCTATTATAATGCACAAACACCAGACATCAGCAATACAAAACGATCCGGGCTAAAACACAGAAGCAGCGACACCATTCCTGATGCAAATAATAAAACCAGGATAATGTTACTGATAATTTGATATATTTGAAACGTTCAATTTATTTCTTAATGTATGTTAAAAAAATAAAATAAAATAAATTATATATATATATATATATATATATATATATATATATATATATATATATATATATATATATATATATATATATATATATATGAAGAAATATAGGTCGAAAGAAATAATTTACCGAGTTTCATGAACAATTTAAATATTTAAATATTTACCATTATTCTGTGTGGCAAGTGGCTTCAAGTACTCATGATCATCTATGGAAAAATGCAACCTTTTTTTCAGTAAGGGAGAGGTTAAAAATCGAGCCTGAGAGCGTCCACCTGACGGAGTAACCCTGAACTCTGGCTGGGGTCGTCACATAGCCAGTATAAAAGAGCTTGTTGGATGTTGGTCCTCATACTACTTCTGACAAGCAAGATGAAGTTCCCCGTGATATTCCTCTGCCTCACCGCCCTCACATGGTAAGACTTTATTATATTACAATAATTGTGGTTATATACTTGACTGACTTCGTGCCAAACATGCAGTAACTCTAACTGACAATTATTACGACAACACTTTCCTAGTTTGGTTGGATGAGCTCAGAGAAGGTTATCAAAGGTTGCAGTTATGTTCGTGAGCTTTTTACATTGCAAGTGTCCGATGAAGAATTTACTCAGTTGTTCTCATGCTCCCCTGAACATTATATTTTCGTATCCTAAGTATATCTGACACTCGTACATAAAAACTTGTTACTAGTATTATATTTATAATTAACTGAGAAATATACCCAATATCGTGTACTTGAGAGCAGACAGGGAATAAAACATTCTTCCTGTACACATCTTCCCATGTGCACCTATCAACATTAGATACACAAATCTGCGGCTCTCGTGCAAATTTCCCTGCGTAAAGGAAACAGCCTCAATTAGCCCTTTATATCAATTCATATGATTGCTCCTCTACGTCGAGTTTAAAGGGTAAGAAATATTTGTGTGCATCATCATCACAATTACTACTCTGATTCTCTATTATGTATGTGTATGTGTATTAAATCTAGACTAAATTTATATACACACTACCGTAAATAATAAGCCACGAAGACTAAGCTTGACGAAGGAGTAATATGTAATATGCATCAAGGCTGTAATAGTCTCACAATGTGTAATGGTCGCCGAAATATAAAATTAACTGAGAAATATAAGTGACGAAGTTATTACATAGGAACGAATTTCTTATATGAGCTGTAAACATATTATAGTTCATATCTTTTCATTAACCTTTATTTAGATACATCCTTGAAATACTGTTCCCATATTAAATGGTAACGTAACATTACGTTCCCAGACAATTTGATATTTCTCTGCACTGTGGCACAGCATTAATACTAACTAACGCGTATCAGCAAGAATGATAATGTTAAAATACTGGCAGGGCTCAAGAAGTCCCAGAGTGTGACTGTGGCGGCTTCATTACTGAGGCTGCAGAGGAGGAAGAAGTGTTCCCCATGGAGGCCTTCGATGTGGAAAACTGTGAAGATCAACAAGACTGTCATGATAGATGCCGCACAGAGGTGACCCTTTACTTATACTTAACAACAGAGAAATGCCAAACCCAGTTATCATGATTTTTATATAAACGATTTTATAGAGTAAACACTCAAATAATATTTTTTTTTAATAAAATATAAAATATCTTAATAATGCCTGAGAGTTTAACATGAATCATTATAAATCAAAGTCCTTTATTCCGTCAGGTATAATATTTCATTTATTTTGCTTGTGTTTACAGTGGAACGAAATAACCAACGAAGGAGACTTGAATTTCGAGCTTCCCGACGGCAAGACGGTGGGCCAGAGTATGTGTGACGACCTGGCTGAGGAGGGTAAAGACGTCGTTGGGCCAACTGAAGTAAGTCTCCACTAACATATCGAGCAATAATAGAAAATAACAGATAATATGGAGAATGGGCGACTGTGTGAAAGAAAATAGTGGCAAGTATAAATGAAATAAGGTGAACGCCTGAACTTACCAAGTGAATCACTATTTGCCGCCTCATGTTTTCTGTGGACCATTCTTAATATAACTATAACGTGAGTTTCTACGTCCACGAAGCTTTTGCATAATAACAGCATCAACGTAACATCACGAGACGGATGTTGGTGCCCCAAGCATATTGCTGACCTTAAGCCATGTTCATATATTGTACCTACACATACTGTACTTCTTGCATATACCAAAGCGCGTTTTGTGACAAAGCCAACTTACCATTCTGTCACTTTATACTAAATATTAATATTAGCTAAATACTTGTCAAAACTTAAGACTCAAAATGTATTTTAATTTCTTATGTAATATTCTATCATAAACTAAGATCTGATAACAACTAGATCTCCATATATGTAATATTTATAATCTAGCAAATGGATTATCTAGCATATACAATATACAGTACATCCATACAGATGTATGCACACATATACACCACTACACAAAACAATTCATACAATCAAGAAAACATTATATCTAAACTTTACAAATAACCACAGATATTCTGATAATCATGTGTTAATATGTCTTACTTCCACACACAGGTGTTCCTGTACGTGAGGCTCTGTGATGGCCCGTGGGAAGACGACGGTGAGGCCACTAAGGAGATGCTGTGTTGTGACGCAGGTCAACACGAACCCTGCGAGTAAATACCAATTACTTTTTCCAGTTACTAACAAGGTAGTCCTCACCAAAGACCTTCAACACCTAGTTACCAGGACACACACACACCATCTCTAGGGATGAGTTGAATACTTACATCAATAAAACGTAACAGCATCTTGTGTTTTCCAAACCTCTGGCGACCATAATTTTTTTTTAAATAATAAGACAAAATATTCTGGTGTATGGAGACATCTGGAAGCACAATATCATTATGAATGAATCCCTAAGAGACGCCAATTCATTTATAATGATTGGTAGAATCTTTTTGCATCGGTAAGACCAGATGTCTCCTTTATAGACGCTACTATAAGCCTATTACTGAAATAAGGAAGCATTTAAATATGGATGTTTCAAACGTTTTCAGATAAGTAGCAATTATGTGTTTGTGTACATCGCAATATATCTAGCTAATGCCTTGAGACAACCTTTTAACAGTGATCAGACTAAGGTGTCAAGTAAGTAATCCCCGTATCTATGAATGCTGCTAATTCCTATTTGATTGTAATTTACATTCAAATTGCCAAATATGACGTATTATACCTGGCGTAATGTACAGTGGTGCGTTGCGCTGTGCATAGTGAAATATTTTTTAGGCATATTACCCTCAAGTAGTGTAAATATTATATTTTGCGTAATTGTGTGTGAGAAGGGCTGGTACTTGATACATTAAAAAAAAATTGTATGTATGTAGGTATTTTTATAGCTTAATTATGGGAGTTGATTAATATTATTATTAGATTTGTAGTCCCCTGGAGCATGGAGTCAGGTCAGTAATTGGCTGGCCTTGGTGGAAGGACATTTGAGTTTGTCATTGGTGGATACCTTTTCAAATCGGGTTGAGTTAGGCAATAACTATTCAGTGCTGCTCTAGTATTATTTATGGGTGTAAAGTGCAATCAATGGTGATATTACAAAGTAGAATGTTTATTTATGTGCATATATTAGTGGTTTACTCAGGATTATGTTTATTCTTTATTCTCTTGATTTAATTTATCTGTTCATGATGTAACCTACACAATTATTATGGTATTTTTTGTTATTAAATTATATCTCAATCTTTTGTAATGTGTGTAATTCCAAACCTTCACTCCTGAACTGTTGGGATAAAGAGGGCTGTTTGAACCCAGGAATAAGTTGTGCTGAGTTGCCAATTTTTTTTTTTGTGCCATATGTGCCCTCATTATTATATTAATCTTTAACGTAATTCAAGTTGAAAAGCTGTGGCATAACAGACGTCATTGACCCCTTTTTATTATCTGTTGGATGGTGATGATGGTGGTGTAACGTCAGGAGAGGGGATGGGGGGGGGGGTGGTCTGAACCCTGAACGTAAAATTGTGAGGTCTCTCCCACCGTCATCCTATTATGTTAAATACTTAATCCTTCTCAACATATCAATGCTGACATTTCCTATTTAATTTCAAATAACTTACTGAACAATACAACATTATTTCGTCTTATCTGATGGTTTGTAAAAACTTGAGTGGCTTGACTCGCTTAATGGGAAGAAATGTTATTTATATGCGTATTTTGTTTGCCAAGACCATATATGACATTTGAATTGTATAAATAATAGTGTACTCATTAGAGACAATGAAATTTGCTGGTCGCGAAAGTTATATTTTACAGAGACAGTGGTGTGGGAGAGGCAGTTAATTAGGTAGGGGCTGGGATGAGACAATTTAGTTCGCTAGGGCAGGAGTGCAGTCATGATCAAAGGTCACCATTAGGAATCATCATGTTATATGTATTTGGAGAACTGGACTAAGACACGCTATGTAATTGCATTATGAAAATATTTTGTATTTTCATCATAAAAGTAAAAGCGACATTACACACTAAGTTCATATTCCTAACTATTATACACGAGATTTGGGGAACGGAATTTTAGTAACTTTTCAAACAATATTACTGCCAAATTGATATCACAATGTCTGTAATTCATTATCGGCTTGTCTATGCATACTCTCGTCGATTACATATGTTATAAAGATTGATACAAAAGGCCGTATTAGACCTCCTTACATAACAGTGGCTTACAAAGTAATTCAAAGAACTAATCACAGTCACAAGTCCTACAGTCAACTTGGTATAATATTTTATTGTGCTAAGTGAAAGAAGAGTTAAGCATGTGTGCAGTAATGTTTGGACTAGTGAAGTCAACTACAAATTTTCCCTTAATAATTAGCTCATCCATAATGTTTATGATAAAGTTATTATAAGAATGTCGATTGAATTGTAATCATAACCCAATGAGAACAAAGACCACTTAATTGATTTTGTTCTGGTTAAGGCAAGACAGTTTGATTTAGCTGCGAGGAAAACCCCTTGGTTCCAATGGGATATGTGGATACCTCTACATCGTGTTGAAAGAAAACACTTTATTGCAGTGATCAACCCTCACAAATCAGTGGACATTTTTCCTATCATCTCCCTGGCGTGAGTATTTGTTTCCGATACTTCAAATTCCCGTCTCTATACCTGACACTAGCTTGCGACCATCGCTACTGTCCAATCTTATCGCACAAGGTGACTCGGACTCTGTCAATTATCTTTTGCCAGACAACTTTTCCCCACCCCTGACATTTTGAATCCTAATGTTGGTGTCAGTTATCAAAATCAACAAGTTGTGGACATGGCAAGCACTAGTGGAACTATGTTACTGGCTGTCCGATAGGTCGTGAAGTCAGCATTACTGCAACCAATCAAAAATAAGATAACGTTTGGGTGACAGCCAACCATAAGCAAACTGAGGTTTATCTGAACCCTAGATTGGTGCAATCCTCCTTCTCCCCAACTCCGAGTACATGAACCCCCTTCCAATACCCCACCCCCCTCTCTGTCGCCTTTCGTCACACCACCACCGTCAGCCAACTTTTATCAGATAGTAGGTAATGACGTTATATTTGGGAACCAGGATGTAATCTATAGCCATACAGGGTGTTCCGTATATACCATTCATAAATCAGGGAGTGTATTCCTGAGACATAATTTAAAATAAATGACTAAATGACCAAATTGTCAATTCTCAATAATTTCGGAATTACAGCACATGACAGGTTTGGTAAGAATGTGATGAAACCTTTATGAAACATCGACTGTTGCTAGTGACGCTTATTAACAATAATAATGTCATATGATTTGTATTGGCATTAATATTTAGAGGAAATGTTCAAAGTTCCGCCCCCATTACTCAATTCAGACTTCAGCCCGTCGCGACGCACAAGTGACTGTTGCACACATTCAGCGACCCCAGGGGTGTTGCGAATGTTTCTCACACTGCCCTGCACACGGCACCACAGTTCCTCACGGTTTGGAACCTCTGTAACATACACCTTGCTTTTTATGTGACCCCACAGGTAGAAATCAAGGAGATTTATGTCAGGTGATCGAGGTGGTCATGAAACAGAGCCGCCGCACCCTATCCACCTTCCAAACCTGTCATGTGCTCTAACTCCAAAACTATTTCGATTTAACAATTTTCTAATTTAGTCATTTATCTTTATTTATGTCTCAGGAATATACCCCCTGATTTATGAAAGGTATTTACGGAACACCCTGTACAGGAAGTATGAGTATTCTTAGATAGAGGGGTAACACAGTTATCTGACCACCATAAAGAGGTTGGTTCTGCCCATTCACCTCAATACACTACGATGTCAACAAACATACTGATGCCAGTTCTCGCAAAACTCACTAACCGCTGTACCAGGTGTAAATGCAGGCGATTGTACATACCAAATCTCATTAGCCGCTGATACCCTTGGCAAGATCTAAAGGTTAAAATATTTGCAATTATAGAGTAGAGGGTCACAGTTGCTTGTCTAATATAGTAAAGGAATAGCAGTGTGTCTGTCTGTCTGTCTGTCTGTTCTGGGCAGCCGAAACGGCACAATCGTTTTTCATCAAACTTGGTGGAAAAGTCGCAAAAAATTCGTGGAGTGGAACAAACCTGGTCCCATGTCGATGGTTTCTTTAGGAAGGCATGTAAGTCTACGGACTTGGCGCACCCTAATTAACCATGCAAGTCTACGGACTTGGCGCACCCTCATTCGCTGTACGCTAGCCAAGCACGATCATTCAAACTTTCACTGGGCACGAAGGTGCCCGCGATCACTTGTCATTTACTATTAATGAGTCGTATGCCCCATCCACTTCACATTAACAAAAAAGATTACTGAGCTCTAACAATAAATATCAGCTCAGGTTAACACTTTCTCTAAAAGACAAACAAGGTCACATGTTATGTCTCATGCCATGAACATGTTTCACCAACACATGAGAATATTATAACTTATAAATTTTAGTATTTTTTAATTGGAAAATGTCAATATATTTAATTAGATTTATAAACATTATACTTCAACACCCTCGGTAGAAATTAGTTAGGGATTTATATATATCTTTTTGGTTTACCTACAGTATAAATATTTTTTGTTCCTATGTACAATATATGACATTAGGGGTCAGGGAGGTAGTAAAGAAAAACAGTTGGGAAGTAGGTAATTTTTTTCGATAAATTTTAATCTCTACTTGTATATGAAAGATGTGATAGACTATGGACTCGAGCATAATTAATGGCACACGAATTGACTTTCATCAATATTTCATCGTTACTGGACCACCAGATGGAGAAGATGGTAGTGATATAGAACTACGTGACGGCGATACCATGCAAGATAAAGGGGCACTGACACAAGAGATTATAAATAAGGTAGAGGTAGTGTATAAGCAAGCTGGTGATGACAAACACATTCACAATTGAAACAAAAATACAGGTTGGATATACAGGCAGATTGTAACCAAATTTAATATAAACGATAACAAAAATGAAAGATCGAGACACTAGTCACTTAAAACATATCCTGAACTTGGTGGAGCTTCTGAATAATGAGAATACATCAGTTATTTTAGCGAAACAAATTGATAAGCAAATAGAAAAAAACTTACCAGGATTATTAATTTGGGGAGTTTAATATTGATTTCCCATTATACCATACAGTCATACAAACATGTGGAGAATGTGTTGGGACAAATCACTTGAACTTTCATACAAGGCTTTCCCAGATATTAAGATCTGTAATCGTCTGCAACAGATTACAAATGTCCATGTGC